ACGGTCCAGCGTTCCAGGTCACACGCGGGACTTGGGGATGTTAGAAGTAGTTCATCTACAGGACGCGGGCTTGAGCCTTTCTCTGTTCTCCTCCCGTTTGCCTCCGTCTCGTCTGCTTTCGCCGCTGTGTGCCGTCTTTCTGTCCTCCCTCTCTTTTTCTGACTGCGGATTGCCATTAGATTCCGTTTTTGCCACAGTGACACTATCAGTAGGACCAAGAGTTGGAGAGGAGCCGCACCAGTCACGCCCAGATACCAGGGTGCCAGAGGCAGATAACCCCGCAGCCGCCCGAGCGCACCGGCGGTCCGCCGGCAGCCCTGCCGGGCGAGGCGGCCCCTGGGCAGGCCCCGCGTGCCGAGAGGGGCGCGTGCGGTCGGCATCAGAGGAGGGGGCTTCCAGGACGACCTGTGTCCTCATCATGGCGGGCCTTTCTCCTTCAGGAGGCTCTTGCTGCTTCAGTAATTACCGAGCAAGCTTGATTTTTTTATTTTTAACTCTTTGGTACTGATGGTTTCTCTTTCTTGTAAACTAATTCTGTAGATTTTTTTAACTGGAAAGGCAGTATTTACTAAAGTGCCGTGTTTTACCTAATGTTGTTATTCCTTCAAACCTCCTGCCACGTCTGCCTACCTAATATTGATATAAAATGCATTTGCTGTGATGTAAGCGGCCCTAAGGCCCAGCACAGCGCCCAGGTCATGGCACCGGCTCGGCGTGTGTTAGCTCTCGTTGTTAACAGTTCTGATGTTAATGATCCATCAGGTGTAATGTTTTTATTACATAATTTAATGTCTCATTCAGTCCAGTTAGCGTCAGCAGGTGCACAACATTAAGCACAGTGTTTGACGTTACACAGTCAGTGCTTGAAAAAGCAAATACAAAAGTGGTGCAAGGAATAAGAACGGTAGCATATGCATCTGTCACCCCAGCCCATCTTCTGATTCCTGGCGCTATTGCATATCTCTGTCTCCGCTCATCTGGGCGGCTTCTGTGTCTTTCAAGCTCGCATTCATGACCTGGGTCTCTTCTTCAGCCCACACTGCTGGTAGGTGAATAGTTGCAACATTAAATCTGATCGTGTTGCTCACCTTATTAAAGTCTTCAGATCATAGTTCTCATGCTTCCGACTTGTCTGCTGGCTCACATAGTCACGTGTGTGCTCGCGATGCGGGAGACCCGCATTTGCTCCCTGGGTCGGGACGATCCCCTGGAGAAGGAAATGGCAACCCACTCCGGTACTCTTGCCTGGAAAATCCTGTGGACGGAGGAGCCTGGTGGGCTATAGTCCATGGGGTCGCAAAGAGTCGGACACGACAGAGTGACTTCACTTTTTCTTCCTCTTTCTCTCCTGCTTGACCGTGAAGTCATCTCAGGTTTTTAGTAGGCAGATTCTGGTCCATTCCAAGAGGCGTGGTCTGACATCGGCCCGGAGCCTGTGCTTCAGCGAGCACCCCTGACGGCCTCAGGGAGGCACTGCTTTAGGCTCCGGAGCCTCGGTGTGGCCCTCTGCTCTCAGCGAGCGCGCCTCGCGCGCTTTGCCTTGCTCACCGACCGCAGCGCCCGTCCGGAGCTGTCTGCTGCCTCATCCCGTCTCACCTTTCTGCCTTCCGTGGTTCACCTCGGCCCTTTGGTGGGGGGCCCCCGATCACCCGCGGGGGCTCGGTCCTTGGTTTTTCTCATGGTGCCTTCCAGTGTCCTTTGTCTGCAGCGCCGTTCATACCGCACAGTCATGTGGTTGGTTGTTAGTTTCGGGTTCCGTAGCCAGAAAATCATCGTATTTGTCTGTATCCTTAGTGCCTTGCACGAACATAGATGAATGTGGCACAAATGAATGAAATACCGGGATGGAATTCTGAAAGTCTTGCTTTTTTTTTTTACTTCATATTTTGTGTAGTGGAAATTTATCATACTACTTATGTACCTTAGGTTCTTAAGCTATAGTATGGAAATGATATTTATTTTCTACCTTCCTTTAAACACCATGTGTTAGTTCAGAGCAGAGGTTTATACAAAGTGAGCAGAATTAGAGATAATTCTGGGAATAAGTTTTGAAAGAGCAGCCCCTTGAGCTGCGTCTTGAAGGGTGAGTGTACGTATGACCGAGTGGCAGCAATGAGGATGAGAAAGGAGTCCCATCCTGGCGGGAGCCATGCAGAGGCACAGATGCCTTGGCCACGTGGCTCTGGAAGGCACAGGTGGCTTAATTTGGTTTCAGTGGAAGATGTAGGATTGTAGTTAGAGATGAAATTGGAGGAATAGGCAGCCATCTATTTTAGAGGCTGTTTTGTGCTTTGCAAAGAAGTCTTTGCTTTGCAAAGATTTTATCCCTGGGTTATAAAATGCTGCTGAAGCCTCTTAAGCAGGAAAGGAACATAGTCAGGTGGGAGGAGGACTGAGATGGAAGAGAGACCATGTAAGGGACTCAGTGTGATGTTATGATGAAGAGTTGATTAGCAACTTAAAATAGTTTTACAAGGATTTTTATAATGTCCTTTGTTTATTTTGCCAGGTACGCGGATAGGCATGGGATTGCACACGATGAGTAAGACATAGTTCCTATAGAGAATAGGAACATGTAAATACATAAAATAGCTAATTATATAAATACAGCCAAGGCATACAGGTTTGTGATGTGTATAAAAAATCTTATGGGAACTGGGTTCACTGTGGATTAACTTTCCGTGGGAGAATCAGGATCTTGATGGAAGAGAAGGGGCTGGAGTGGAGTGAAGAAGAGTATTTCGGGTAAAGAAAGAAGGGGATCAGTGGTTGAGGGAGTGTGGTTATGGCGCTGGAACCTGTCTGTTAAAGCAGGAAAGTACTTGGCATCGAGTTGTAATGGATCTTGAATGTTGTGCTGAGGGATTTAGCATTTTATCCAAGAACTGTATTTTCTAATTATGAAAATACATATTGATTATAGACAATGTAAGAAATATATAGAAATAAGAAAATGTAGATCTGATATGATTGCGTCACCAAAAGTAATAGGAACATTTTCATGTATTTCTTTCCAGTGTTTCTCACCATGCTCAGATACATACTTGGGCATTAAATAAATGAAATCATAATTTTAAATCTGTTGTATAGTGTGTGTGTGTGTGTGTGTGTGTGTGTGTGTGTGTGTGCTCATGTGTAATGTTATCTCACTTAAAATTGGAATGGCATTTTGCCATGTGATTAAATGTGCCAAGGAAGCATGATTTGTAGTGATTACAGAATTTATTATATGATTATACATAAACTGTTCATTTCCTTATTGTTAGATTATTTAGGTGGTTTTCAATCTAAAATAGCGGGTGCTATTTCACCAAACATCTTTGCACATAAGTCTTTGTGTTTCTGACTATTTAGGACAGGGCTCTAGAAATAAATGTACTGACCAGGCAGTCTTCAGGGCTCACACACCCCTGCTCTTCTGAAAGGGCTGCTACTGAAAGTCCTGCCTGCAGTGTGTGGGTTTGGCTTTCATTGTACTCCTGGCTAAGTAATTTTTTTGTGTTTACTGTTTGTTAATTTTATAAATGGCATCCCGACAGCTAGTTTGAGTCAGTTTTTCCCTTATATTCCTTGATTATTTGTCTCTCTTATTGTGAATTGTCCTTGACCTTTATGATATTTTTCCCTTTTATTTTGGCACTCATTTTTTAATATAGATTGTAACTTTATCAGTCTTATTTGTGGCGCATTTTTATTCCTATTTCTTACTTGCCTTCAATTTTTCTAGTAGTGAATTTGAAATTTAGGTCTGTGTGGCAAGTCCTTTCTCCTCTTGAGGTCAGATATAGTCACCTATATTTTGATTTAGTTTTTCAGTTTTGTATTTTTCATTTCTCTTAATAACCCATGATAATGGGGCAGTTTTTTGGCAGAAGACTGACATGATTAGATTGGCTTTTCAGGAGTCTTGTGGCTCGGCAGAGGTTGGATGGGAGTAAGGAGAAACAAAGGGCGGTGAATCCGTTTTGGAAGAGAGAAGAGAAGGGTCTGGACATGCTGGTGGTGACGATGGTGGTGACTGAGGAGAGCAATTCTCAACCTGTGACTCGGGAGGTGCAGCAGGTTTAGTGGGAGGGTGGAGGTTAGAACATATTAAATGCAAGGTTTTGTGGGACATCCAGGTAAAAGCAGTGGGAAATACAGGATTGAAACTCCTTCAAGAGCTTGTCTGGCTGGTGATAGACATTAGGGGGCCATTACAAATAGGTGATGGTTCTACCGTGGGAGAAAGAATGAGTGTGCAGGGCATCTGAGTGGTCAGAATTAGAAGGTTCAGCAAGAAGGTATTCTCTGGGAAGCTCTTTTTATACTCTTTCTCATTTAGCAAAATCAACAATGTCAGAAATAATGAATACGGTCAGAGATATGCAAAGATATTAATGAGGAGAGGGACCAAAGAGTTTCCGTTGGATTAATCTACTACTTTACTTATATTTGGCTAAAAGGGGCAGTAGACTGGGAAAGGAATAGAAGAAGGAACATGGTCAAACAAAAGCACTTTTGAAGAATCTTAAGTAGGCTCGAACATGTTCTCTATTGAGGGAAAAGAATCTGTGAACAGGGAGAGATCGAAGGTAAAGTAAAAAAGGAATCTGGTGCAGCAACTAAAAGGATGAATAGTTGTGATGAATGGATTTTTTTTTCAGGTGAAACAGTAGTAGCTTATTCTCAGACGTAGAATTTGCATTCAAGTTATCGAAACAATTTTTAACCTGCTCTATGAGTAGAGAGACTCCCTGCTTCAATAACAGTATTTCATTTCTTTTTTAAAAAAACTGACAATTTTATAATTATTTCAGCATGGTGTTCTTCTGGTTTTAAGTTCATGTCTTTTATGTGCTGCTGATTCACAAAGCTGCCTTGTTCCTTTTAATGATATTGGTACCTAAAAAGGCAGCTTAATAAGCATCTAAATTCCTTCAACTATGTATTGTTCATTAATAAAGGCATGATGTGAAATACTTTGAATTATAACCATCTTTTCAAAATATCTGTTGCAGGGAAATTTACCTAAATATTCTCATAACTCCCTGATGGTTCAAGCAATAAAGACAAACCTAACAGACCCGGACATACACGTGCTCTTCTTTGATGTGGAAGCGCTGATTATTCAACTCTTGACCGAAGAAGCCTCTAGGCCGAATACGACGCTTATTTCCCCAGAGAATCTGCAGAAAGCATCTGGCAGTTCAGACAAAGGGGGCTCTTTTCTAACCGGAAAACGGGCAGCAGTCCTCTTCCAGCAAGTGAAGGAAACCATCAGAGAGAACATAAAGGAGCGCCTCCTGGATGAGGAAGACGAGGATGAAGACGTGGCGCGGCAGAGGCGGGAGGACGGTGACCCTGAGTATCGGGCCAGCAAGTCCAAGCCGCTGACCCTGTTGGAGTACAACCTGACAATGGACACCGCCAAGTTGTTCATGTCCTGCCTCCACGCCTGGGGTTTGAATGAGGTCCTGGACGAAGTGTGTCTCGACCGCCTGGGGATGCTGAAACCCCACTGCACGGTGTCCTTTGGCCTCTTGTCGCGAGGAGGCCACATGTCCCTGATGCTTCCCGGTTATAACCAGGCATCCGGTAAACTGTCCCGCGGGAAAGCCCAAGTGGGAAGGAAGCTGGCGGCCACCGAGGGCGTCGGGAAGGGAACCTACGGCTTGTCCCGGGCCGTCACCACGCAGCATCTCCTGTCTGTCATATCTTTGGCAAACACCTTGATGAGTATGACCAATGCAACTTTTATTGGTGATCACATGAAGAAGGGCCCTACCAGGTGTGACCTTGTTAGCTTGATTTTTATCCTTATGATGCAGAAAAAAAAGAAGCCTGTTTTCTTTTTGTCACGTCTTATTACCTTTTCTCGCCGTGAGGGGGGACTCTACACGCCTTGGCATTTTTTTGTCATCTCAGTGTTTCCCCTTTAAATTCTAACTACAACATGCATGGCTTAAAATATAATCACATTGTACAGTTTTATCTGTACTCAGACATACTTAGTAGCTATCTTAAAAAAATATTGGAATGGAAGAGTAGGTCAGAGTTCAGCTTTAACAAATAACTTATAGACTAGCTCTTCAGTAAATATAATCTTGGATTATATCTACCTGTAGTTGGCACTGACATTTAATTCAAGATGTATATTTGGTTAGAATGCATCTCTTTATTGTGACCCATGTGTAATGAATGGTAAGTGTTTAGTGATTGGCTTCAGAAATTTTATGAGAGGTAGTCAGGATTTCTCAATGGGTAAAGAGAAAACAACTTTGTAAATGCAGAAAAGTATTCTTTTAATGTTTCTAGAATACTTAGCCTGATTTAGTATTTCTCATTTTCCAGAAGTCACAAAGACAACTTTTTAAACTCTGGTTTTATTATACTTTATTGAGAGTTGACCACATTTAGATTTTTTTTTTTTTTTAATTTAACAACTACTAAAGTGGCACTTCCCTAGTGTCTGGCTCTGTTGTAAGCACTTTACAAATATTATTTCCTTAATGCTCTTAACCCTGTAAGGTGGGTACTTTTATTATCCTTTTGTTACAGATGATAGAGCAGAGACATGGAGGAGAAGTAACTTGTCCAAGGTCACACAAGTAGTAAGTGGTAGAACCAGAGTTCAAAAGGGAACAGGCAGCCATGGAGGCTAAGATTTCTTAAGGCCTTATTGCCTGTTTCAGACTTTAGGGCTGAATTATTTGAAATTTGTATATATTTTAATTTATTTATTTTGTATATATTTTAATTTATTTATTTTAAATTGAAGGGTAATTGCTTTACAGTATTGTGTTGGTTTCTGCCAAACATCAGCATGAATCAGCCGTAGGTTTACATATGTCCCTCCCTCTTGGACCTTCCTCCCACCTCCCTTGCCCCCCCACCCCTCTAGGTTGTTACAGAGCCCTGGTTTGAGTTTCCTGAGTCATACGGCAAATACCCATTGGCCGACTATTTTACATATGGTAATTATGGAACTCAATATATTGTTCCATAAATTCATTTGGACCAATGATACAGAGTGGGCTGGAATATGAGCATAATAATATTGAAAAATGAAGGACTAATTATCATATTTATCTGTCAGTGGTAGTAGATTAAATATTTCTTGAACTAGTTTAAAGCATAAACTGTAGATGTAAAAGTTTTACTTGCTATTTGCTAATCATTCAATTTATGTATTAAAATCTGAAATAGAAAATGATAATAGGTACAAAGCAAAAAAACCCCACAAAAACCCTATCTTTTTGGTACAGCAAATTGAAAAGGTTCTGTATGTGTTTCTGTTGCAATTCATTTGGAACTAGGAAGCTTAATATTTTAAATGGCTCTGGAATTATGAAACTGTGAATGTGTATATATACATGTATTTTCTTCTTCTTTTTAAAGGCCACCTAGACCAAGCACCCCAGACCTTTCCAAGGCAAGGGGTTCCCCTCCAACTACCAGTCATATTGTGCAAGGACAGATTAAACAAGGTAAAATTAAATCTAATATAAGTAATTGACATGACATTTCAGCTCTAGAAACTGAAGAGGCATAGCTAATATATAATCATAACATTTTGTTTGTCTCAGATTGTTAAAGAAAGAAAAGTTGTTATATTCCAGATGTAAATATGGATAATTAAGATGTCAGTTAAGAATAAATCAGATTTATTTAGAAACTGATGAATGAGCATGTTTCACATGATTTTATTGTACTGTCTTTGGCCTAATTTTTATGCATTAGGGCCACCTTAACTCGACAATGCTCGTGCCTTAATTGTGTGTATCTTGAGTCTGGAAGTTATACACCTATTTTTTAACTACATTTAGAAATGTTTACATTCATATTTCCCTACTATAGCTATTCTCCTGTCATTTGCTGGTAGTTCATGCATTATAATCCACAGTGGAAATTCTTCCTTTTTTTTTTACTTAATCATTATATACTTTAACTTTTGTCTGTAGCTTTATTTTTCATTATGGGTTAGAAGAAAGATTGAGTTTTTCTTTCTTTATTTTCTTTTATATTCATTTTAAGACTCACAAGTGAGCTAATCAAAGTTGGTAGGTAGAAGGAAGAAATCAGTTCTGCTTAGAGAAATTTCCTTTAGGTTAACGGTTAATGCCTTCTCTCATAGAATGTGGTAGAAGTGAAGAAGTGAGCAAGAGATGGGACCGGGAAGTTTCTGCTTGTAATGGTGACTTTGTAGGATTTTTTTTTTTTTTTTTTAAGGTTTTAGAGAGTCAGTGATGGTTCTGTAACTTAGATGAACAGGCCTCCAACTTCACATCTGCAATTTTCCTGTTTCCTAGAAAAAGGCCTCTTACCTCTTAGCTGATTGTTTGCACTTGCTTTATTGCCCTGAAATGGTGTGTTTGGGTTTTAGTTTTGGGCACCACGTGTTGGCTTCTCATCATGGAACTCCCTCAACTCTCAACTCTCTTTGCTACTGCAACCCATTATTTCCAGCCCCATGTGGTCACCCCTCTTATTTCGCTTTCCTCTCATCAAACCTTTGTAATCATTTTATGATAGTTTATATTGTTACATACGAGTTTTAATTAGGCAACTTTCTATACTTGTGTGTGGGCAAAATGCACACAGAAAAGTGCCCAAGACGTAAATATGCAGCTCAGTGAGTTTTACAAACCAGGCACCCTTGTAACGACATCCTCAGACAAGAAGCAACATTGCCAGCGCTCCCGAGGCCACCGCCATGCTCCTCCCAGTCAGTATACCTTCCTCTTCCAGAGGTAGCTACTGTCTTGATTTGCAGCAGAATTACTTGCTTGCATTCCATTATGGTTATACAACATAAGTTCAAATCCCTAAACACCAGGTTTAGTTTTGCCTGTGTTTTGAATTTTATATGAATTCAGTCATCATGGAGTATGTATTCTTTTGTGTTTGGCTACTTTTGTGAGATTTATCAGTGTTGTTGCATGTGACTGTACTTTGTTTATTTTCATTGTTTTATTGCTGGATAGTATACTGATGAATGAAATGAACACAACTCTGATCCATTTTTTTGGTCAGTAGACATTTGGATCATATCCAGTGTTTGGTTTTGATAAATAATTCTGCTATGAACATTCCTGTATTTGAACCTTAGTAAGTTTTTCTGTTGCATATGTAACTAAAAGTGGAATTTCTGCATATATTTATCTTCAGCTTTAATTGTAGATAATGCTAACATCTTTTCCTGTGAAAGACAAATATACATCCATCAAACTAGCTAAGGGGGAAAAGATGGAAAATATTGTGTCAGGTCAGGTATGGATCAATGAAATGAGACCCCTCATACATGGTTGGTGAGATATCCTAGCCAGTGCTTAATATATTCCATGTTTTTCACTTAGCCATTTTTGGTATGGCTAGTATATCTAATATATCACTATTTTTCGTTCCTGGTTACTGTTTTTGTGTATTTTAAGAAATTGCCCTGATATTCCTACTCTCATATGAGGATATTCTTCTCTGTTTTCTTTTAGAAACTTTCTTACTTTACCATTCTCGTTTAGATCTACAATCTGCCTAGACTTTAATTTTGTGTACTATATGAAGCAAGGGGTCCTATTTCGATTTTACTTCCATTATGATCCCAAACTTGTACAGCATGATGTATTAAAGAGATGATTCTTTCCCCACTGCTTTCCCCCATCTTTGTCATAAATAAAGTGTGCTTATATATGTGGTTTGTTTCTGAGCTGTTTGAGCACATTGATATGTTTGTGTATCTTTGTGTCTTAATTACAGTGGCTCTGTAGTAAGATGATATTTAATAGATCGTCTTCCTTCCTGTTCTTAAAGAATATCTTGGATGTTCTTGTCCCTTTGAATGTCAATATAAACATTAGAACCTTTTTATTGTTGTCACAAAGACCTATTTTAACTTCAGTTTTATTGACTTTCTAGATCACTTTATAGGAGAATTCTCGTCTTAATGGGATTCATTCCTTTAATCTATCAACTCGATACATCTCTACATTTATTTAGGTTTTATTTAGCTATCATAACTCTGGAATATAGTTTTCTATATAGAGGTCTTATATTTCTTTTGTTAGATTTATCCCTAGGTATTAGATTTTAAAAATATTCTTGTAACTGATAATAAATTTCTTCATTTTCTGTCCTGCTGATATAGAAATGCAGTTGATTTTTGTATATTGACCATGTATCAAAGCATCTTGCAAAATTCAACCTATTAAGGTAGTACATTTCTGTAGGTTCTTTTGATCACATGGAAAATCATATGGAACGACTTCTTTATTCCCAGTATCAAAGGGAGAACTTTTAAGCTTTCATAATTATGATACTTCCTATATGCTTTTATAGATAGCTTAAGAAATTAGCTCTACTATTCCTTTGCTAAGTATTTATCATCAGTGTATGTTGGGTTCTTTTTTATTATTATTATTATTATTAATTTACTTATTTTTGGATGTGTTGATCTTCATTGCGGCATGAAGACTTTTCTCTGCTGGTGGCGTGATGAGGGGGCTGCCCTGAAGTTGCGGTCCATGGGCTTCTCATTGCAGTGGCTTCTCTTGTTGCGGAGCGTGAGCTGTAGGCGTGCGGGCGTCAGCAGTTGTGGAATGTGGGCTGAGTAGTTTCGGCTCCCAGGCTCTAGAGCACAGGCTCGGTAGTTGTGGTGTGCAGGCTTAGTTGCTCCATGGCATGTGGGATCCTCCTGGACCAGGGATTGAGCCAGAGTCCATTGCATCGCAGGCAGATTCTTCACCACTGAGTCACCAGGGGTGCCCTGGTTATTATTAACTGTAAAAACTTTTTAAAAATTGATGATTATTTCCTGATTTTTCAGCCCTTATTCCTTTAGAATGTATGCCAAAAATCATGTCATCTGTAATAAAGACAATTATATTTGTTTTTAATTGGTTTGCATTTTATTTTTCTTACTTTATTGCATGGGTTAGCATAAAGATGTTGAAGTAGAACTGACATCCTGGCTTTATTCCCAATCTTAGGGATAAAGCATTCAGACTTTTACTATTAGGTATGATGTTAGCTGTAAGTTTTTCTTAGTTGAGCTGAATATTTCCCTCCCATTCCTAGTTTGCAGAGACTTTAAAATTATGAGTGAATGTTAGATTTTGTCACATGATTTTTCTGCATTTGTTGAAATTATCAAATGAATTTTCTCTTTTATTTTCTTAATGAGTACAAGAACATTGACTTCTGAGTTTTTAAAAAACCTTGCAATCCTGGGGAAGGTCACACTTGGTCGTGATGATTTATGCTTTTTATAGATTATCAGATATAATTTGCTAAAATTTTGTTAAGAGTTTTTATGTTAATGGTCATGAGGGATTTGGGGTCTAGAGTTTTCATTTCAATAATTATTTCTTCAGTTTTGGTAACAGGATAGTGCTGATCTCACAGAATGACATAGGATATTACCCTCTTTGCTTTGATACTTTTGTTTGGTGGGGGATGGGCATGTATAAAATCGATTTTTTTTTTTTAACTTCTTTGATTTATTTTACCAGTGAAACTATGTAGGCAGGGACTTTTCTTTATGGAAAGATTCTTAACTACAAATTTAAATGCTTAGAGCTATTTAGGATTTTTTTTTAAATTCATCTTGGGTGAACTTTGATCATTGTTGTTGTTGTTCAGTCACTAAGTCGTGTCCGACTCTTTGCTACCCCATGAACTAGAGCACGCCAGGCTTCCTTGTCCTTCATCATCTCCTGGAGCTTACTCAGATTCATGTCCATTGAGTTGGTGATGCCATCCAACCATCTCTTCCTCTGTCACCTCCTTCTCCTCCTGCCCTCAATCTTTCCCAGCATCAGGGTTTTTCCAGTGAGTTGGCTCTAGATATCAGGTGGTCAAAGTATTGGAGCTTCAGTTTCAGCAGCACTCCTTCCAGTGAATATTCAGGGTTGATTTGCTTTAGGATTGACTGGTTTCATCTCCTTGCTGTCTCAAGAGTCTTCTCCAGTACCACAGTTTGAAAGCATCAGTTCTTCGGCACTTAGCCTTCTTTATGGTACAACTCTCACATCCGTACATGCCTAGTGGAAAAACCATAGCTTTGACTATGTGGACTTGGCAGCAAAGTGATGTCTCTACTTTTTAGTAGCCTTCTAGGTTTGTCATAGCTTTTCTTCCAAGGAGTAAGTGTCTTTTAATTTCATGGTTGCAATCACTGTCCACAGTGATTTTGGAGCCCAAACAATAGTCTGCCACTGTTTCCACTTTTCCTCATCTATTTGCCATCAAGTGATGGGACCAGATGCCACGATCTTAGTTTTTTGAATGTTGAGTTTTAAGCCAGCTTTTTCACCCTCCTCTTTCAACTTTCATCAAGAGGCTCTTTAGTTCCTCTTTACTTTCTGCCATTAGAGTGGTATCATCCGCATATCAGATTGTTGATATTTTTCCTGTCAATCTTGATTCCAGCTTATGAGTCATCCAGCCTGGCGTCTTGCATGATGTACTCTGCATATAAGTTAAATAAGTAGGG